CGGGAATTTTACAGAAAAGCAGAATTTCCCCCCTTACTAAACACTGAAGTGTCAGGTGTGATTTGTTTCAGTGAAAATAGTAGAATTTCAGAACACTTTGAATGAAAACTGAACCAAAACCAAGTCCGTAAATACTCACTATAATTTGGTACATCCTTTTCAGAGTCCTTGGAAGATGTTTTACCAGTCTCTGGTAAGCCACTTTTTTCATATTCAGTTGTTAAGATGCTGGGTTGGGTTTTTCTTAGTCCTCCTTCAGCGTCTTCCTCTAAAGCCACTATCATATCTTTGTAGGCCTTCCTGGCCTCTGTTGTCAGTTGTACCATTCTATGAAAATGGTCCTATGGAAATATAAAATATTAGTAAAGCTTAAATCACACAGTAAGTTTTAACGCCTCCATGAAAATCAGTAATAAATATTCCTTACTCAGAACGCATATGTTCATATATAAAAGTTGAGCAGCTAAGTACATATAAAGACATGAAAAACAAACCATTTATAAGCATTTATACAACACCAATTGTCTTGAAAAATAAAGATTTTGGAAGGAGATCTAGATGGACAGGATGTCAGGAAGAGATGGCCAAACTACTTTTTTGAACAGTGCTGAGTGGCTGTACTTCTAAAATCAATTTTTTGTATAAGCCACTGACCTGGTATATAAAGACTGTAAGCGTAAGTGTGCAAAAGCAAAACAAACAAACAAAATCTTAAAGTCACAGTTTTGGTTTCTTCCCCCTTACAGGTAAAAAGTAAAGCTAAACAAAAACTTGAACCTACATATTTCAGCTTACCTGAGCCCCATCATAGCTAAAAATTCCCACCACACTCACAGGCACTGCTTTGTTCACACAGCGGCCCAGGGCCTTGCGATTAAGGGCAAAAACAAATGGGACATTCTGTTCAGAGGCACAGTCGATAATGTTGTGCAGAGTATCATCCAACCCACCTGGATCAGACATTAGAATTAGCAAAGAATGACACTATTCAAGCTGGTTGTAACTAAAGGACAGTACTGTTAAAAGATGGCAAAAAATACCCTAAGATTATGGGTGCATTTTGAAATTATAAGAGTTTATAGGGGGAAAAAAAAAAAAGGATGTCAACAACAGTGTTAGATCTCAATTTTTAAAGGAGAACTTGCCTTTTTTTCCTTAATTCTTACTTAGCAGTATCGTTAGACTGCTACTATTCCCTACTTTGTGTAGTATACACAATATGTGTAGTATCCACTATATGTGTAGTATATATAGTCTAATCTAGTATTAAAAAAGACCCAGCTGCTAATAAATTATTTAAAAGTTGACAGAAAGTAATGACAATAATTACAACAAATTTTAAACAAACTATCACTGACAACTTACTGTCAATCTGTGGCCTAAAAGAGATTGATACAGCAGGACGTCTTGTGGTGGCACAGCTGGCATCAGTAACCTTTGTCCCTCCTCAGCTGTGCCAGTGCCATCTTTTGTGCAGCTGCACTGCAAATCTATAACTAAACAGATCCTAGTTTCAGATAACTTCCCCCAGACCAGATAGTCTTGACTCAGCTCACACTTCATTTGCACAGCAGTAAACAAACTGCAGAAGGAAGGAATCTTTATACGACTGGATTTCAAAGCCTATTCAAGTAAGTTCCTCCAATAGCAATACTGCTGCCAAGTATACTGAGTGTGCTTTTGTACATTTCTTTTATTAAAACAAACATATTTTTTTAAAACTTACTTACCCTTTGACTGAATCTTTTCACAGTTAGGAGAGATGATGACACACTTCAGTTTTTTCAGCTTCAGATGTTTCAAAACTTCTCTAAGACCCATAACAAGCCTGCGTTTTATCTTGGCCTTTACTGGGTCTTTCTGATACAAGCGATCTTGGAAACGGACCAGTTCTTTTAAGAGATCTGCCACACATCTGTCAACTTCTTTACTAAGTAACTGGCTACAATAACTAGAAGAAAGAATCAACTATATGTTAAAAAAACTAAAATTACAAATATGTAACACATAAATATGTAATATATAAAATAGGTAAATTATAAACAGTTTACCTTCTATGGTATCTCTCTGGTTTCTTTTTCTATTTGCACTCCAAACACACTTGTTATATACATAAAAACAAAAATTTACTTAAGATTTTTTTTCCAGTGGCTGAGAACTTACAGAAAGTTTTGTTACTTGTAATAGCTCCCAATCAAACTATACTAAAACTACATACACACACATGTACAATAAACCAATAAACCTATATATATATATTTTATACCAATAAACCTGTATGTACATACATTTTTCTATTGAAGCATTTTTCTGAGGGTGTGCATTTTGACCTATATAAATCAAAGTACAGCAACCAATGTATAAAATTCTAATTTATTTCTATAAATACAAGGCTACTTAAAAAAAAGATGGAAATGTGGATTAAATTCCTCCTCCCCAAGTTCGTATTTTTTGTCTGTCATCCTATTTCACTTATCAGACTACAGCCTTGTGGTGTTCATAAAGAAAGGGTACAAACAGATGTACTTTGTCTTTCTGGTGTTCCCCGAGAAAGATCAGAGCTCCAAATTATTTTTTCACCTATCTTTTACACACAGAATTGTTCAGTAAAGAAGGGTCTCGAAGAAAAAAACTGAAGATATCTCAGCTGCTCAGTCAACTGAATGATGCCAAGTGGCAAATTCATATAAGATTACGAGGAGATCACAAGATCTATCCTGATCTTAGAGATACAGTTGTCTCAAAATTTTATTTAAGTTACAGGAGTTTTTATTCACTATTACAATTCAGTTCACTAAGTCTCAAAGACAAGCCTACTAAAACACTGAAAATCTAATCTAAAGACACAAAATATTCTAAGCTTTGCTGAAGGGTCTGCATACTACAATAGGTAGGACTGAGTTGCCCTGTACATATTCGGCCCAAACTGTGCTGTGAGTCAAACAGTGTTGCATAGACAAAAATTAAATCATTTTTAATACAATTAAAAGTTAAATTAGAGCTAATAAAGGCATCAGGAAGATAAGGAATGGCTGTATCAATACACCTTTACTATAACATGAACTGCAAAAAGGCCCATGGTGCCTTTACGGGAAGAAAACTAGAAGTTAAAACACTGCTTACTTCAAGTAACTGTTTTAAGCTGGCATGAGTGGATCTCTGACCTCTTCCCATATAGTACTGAATATTTCTTCTTTTATAATGAAATATGTATAAACACCTGTTTAAACAAAACTAAAAGTGTTTGCGCATAACCACCCATAAATCCTGTATTTCTCTGCCTGGCCACAGCATGAAAATGCCATTGGCTAGTCACATTCTTTACATTTTTGCCATTTGGTATGGCAGCAGAAAATTAAACCACACACTAAAAATAAGAAAGGTGTCCTACTTTTCTGAAATACTTTGCTGGGACTCATACACCAAGGTTAGAAGGACAGGATGCTAGTGAGGACACTTGGCCTGTTGTTCTCAGATGTGCTGGCTACACAGAGATAAGACAGAAGTCCCAAGGTAATAGCAGCCAACAGGGAAACACGGGCAAAAGACCTCAAAGGAACTAAGGGGTGTT